CAGCGGGGCTTCACTGTGTCTGTCTCGTGGGACACACACCACTCTGTTGTTTGGTTTTACTCTTTGAGGACATGACATACAGCCTTCTTAGACCCATGCTAATTCCATAATTTCTCCTTAAAGATCTGAATAGGCGCTGAACCACACTGGTCAGAGCATCACCCACGGCTCTGAAGTATACTTTGGGTCTGCCCTCTACTCTCAGCATCTTGACCTCACCCCTGCTTTGCATTTCCTCTCTCTACTAGGGATGGCTTTAACGTGCGAATCCCTCTGCCAGGCCCACTGTTTGACTCCCTCCCCCGAGAGATCCAGAGCGGCATGCTGCTGCGGGTGCAGCCTGTCCTCTTCAACGTGGGCATCAACGAGCAGCAGACACTGGCCGAGAGGTGTGTGCTGGCGCCTGTGCAGCTGGGCTTCAGTGTCCATGGAGCTGGGGGTGTGAGCCCGCCTCAACTAGAGAAATACACTGTGGTTACTGGGAGACATTGTACAGCTGTCAGTGGAGCAGGCCATGGTCAGAGTGACATGTTCGGTAGAGCATACTTCTGGCCATGAGTAGAGAGGATGTGAGGGAAATTAGAGGATGTTGGTGAAGAGGCTGGGCCACAAGGCAGGGCTGTGGAGCTGGATAACTGGACCATAGTGTCGTGTTCTGAGAAGGGACCGGCTGAGGGGGTGCAGGTATCATGGAGCATAAGTAGACTGTGGCCTTGGCGTCTAGATTGGACACACGGGTTAGTGCCTTCACTGAGCTCAGGACAGTATAGAAGGTTGAGTTCAGAGGAGATGGTGACTGGGCCCAGGCTGAGGCACCACTCCAGGAGACAGAGCCTCCCTGAGGCAGGAGCTAGACGATTATCAAGATACAAGGAATACATTCTTTGGCTGTATTTTCCTTGAGCTTACTTCCTTGTCCTAGCCCAAGGTCTGATATTCTTGCCAATTCCCTGGAAGCAGCACCAAAAGCTCTCTACAGTGCTTGCTCCTCCGCCTGCCATCCCCTTTCCTTAGGTGCCTTTGAGGGAGGAAGACACATGAACTCCAAGATGAGAGCTTGTGACACATATGTGGGCCTTTTAGCCTCTGAGCCTGGTGCCTTAGGCCATTTTCCATTGCTGTGACAAAATACCTTTAACAAGATAAAAAACCTAAGAAGTAAAGGTTGATTTTGGCCTGTGATTCCAAACGTTTCAGGCCGTGGTTGCTCCTCAGCCTGTGCATGGCAAGGCAGGAAATCATGGTATAGAAACCACATGGTGGGGCAGAGCAGCTTACCCTACGGTGTGCAGGAGACAGTGGACTTGCCAGAAGACAAGGTTGACCCTTCAGAAATGTGGCCCAGTGCCTGCCTCCTCCAACTAGGCCCTGGGTCCTAATAGACATTTAGCTGGGAACTCCTCAGTCCCCTTCCACATGTGAGCCTGCATGAGAGAGACGTGTTCCGGACCCTGCTCCAGTGTACTCCTAGGCATGCCTGTAGTGAGTGTTAGTGGCTTCTGCTTGTGAAATTCCTCCCTGATGCTGAAGGGATGGCTTCAGGAAGGAGAAAGAGACTTGGAGTTTGGGCTTGCAGGTTATCTACTTGGGAGAATCAATCCTCAAGATTTCCTTCAGCTTTCAACTTTATTGAGAATGACATGGCCCTTCTCCTGATGCCCCGATTCTCCCCAAGGTTTGGAGATACATCCTTACAAGAAGTTATCAATGTGGAGAGCTTGGTGCGGTTAAATTCCTACTTTGAGCAGTTTAAGGAGGTTCTGCCGGAGGACTGTGAGTATTCCTTCCCTCGGAATGTGCTCCAGGCTGCCCATGCAGTCTTCATTTTGGACGCCTGAACTCCAGCTCTGTTTTCTGACCTGAGTGCTGCCCAGCTCATCCCACTGCAGTGTTGTCACAAGTCCTACACGGATGTATTAGACGGTGTCCTTCTCTGCCCTCACATGTGCTTGAGACCCCATTCTTCTGGCTTGAGCCCCACCTAGGAAAGCTTCTGTGGTGCCTCATCCCCGCTCCCCAACTCTGCAGTTGGTCTTCTTCTCTAGATACGTGCTTCCTGCTACTGTGCCCTGCCTCTCCCTAGCACATTCCATGGCAGTCTGTGTGCACCTGCTGGGAGCACCAGGGAGCTTGGAGGCAGTCCAAGGGTTCTGTACAAGCTGTCCATGTATTTCTGTCCCTGGCATATACAGTGAGATGCAGAAAAGATAATTCCTATTGAATATTTGTGGGCAAGATGACCCTGCCTCAGTCTCCCAGAGGCAATGGAATTCCACGTTGTGCTCACATACAGTTCTCTGTCCTCCACATGAGGACATAGTCTAAGAGGGTTCTGGCAGCCACAGCACTTGGGAAGAATCCGAGCTGCTCAGCAGAGCTTTTAGCTGCTCCAGTCTTCTGAATTGATCCCAATGAATCCCCCGAGCCTCTGCTATGTTTAGCCTGTGAGACAGAGCTGCCTCTTGGGATTACACAGAGAGCACAGACCTATCCCTGACTGGAGATTTTCTCTTGTGTGGGGGATGGCTCCAAAGGGAAACAGTATGTGGACTGGGGAGATAAGCAGACTGTCTTTCGTCCTTCTAAAGGTGAGGTGGACCCTAAAGTGGAGAGCTGATGACGAAACAGTGCAGAGAACCCTCAGAGTTACTGATGAGAAGTACTAGGCCAAATGCTCTGCACTGTTCATGTTCACTGTGAATCATGAGACATCAGTATTATGTGTATCCAGGGAACAGAGGGGTTGCCTGGCTGTGGACCCTATGTATGTAGATACAAGAAGGACCCAGGAGAAGGCACTGGCATTCATTTGGCAGTGCTTATTTGGGAAAAGGCTGCCTCTGCTTGGCCTCTCTGGTATGGTGCTTAGACTGGAGGAGGGGAACACAGGCCACTTTTGGCATACTGCAAGGTTCTCACTGAGTACCAGGCCCACTGAAGCCAGCACTTTGAGAACTTTAGGCATATTGACACTTTTGTAGTGTCCTAGTTAGGGTTTCTATTGCTATGATACAACACATGACCAAAAACAACTTGGGGAGAGAAAGTCACCCTTTCATCTTACACTCCACATTGCAGTCTATCATCAAAGGAAGTCAGGGCGGAGACTCAAGGCAGGAGCCTGGAATTGGCACGTTAGGGGAGGAACTAAGGGCAGGAACCTGGAGGTAAGAAGTGATGGAGAAGCCACGGAGGAGTGTAGCTTACTGGTGTGTCCCCCATGACTTTCTCAGCCTGCTCTCCTATAGAGAATTCAGGACCACCAGCCCAGGGGTGGCATCACACAATAGTGTGGACCGCCTATGTCAGCATCACTTTACAACAAGAAAATCTACTGCAGACTTGGTCTTCCAGAGGAACTCTAGCTGGTTTGGTATGAAACTCTCCAGCACACATGATGTTCCAGGAGCATCTCTGGTCTCTAGTCCCTGCCCAGACTAACCTGCAGGTCATCAGCGAGGTGTCCTCCAGTTCCTCCTCAGTGCTCATTATTAGAAATATATGCCAAGTCCTTGCCCTATGCCAAGGGACGAGAACATTGAGATATGGAAGGTGTGACTCCTGGGGAGCCACACCAATCCCAGTGGCATCTTATTTTTACTGCTATAAGGAGAGAGACAGGCTGTGGACTTGCAGGGAACTGGACCATCAGCCAGAGAACCAAAATGAACATAGTGGGTAGAGCAGGGGTTATGAATATTACCAAGGGTGGTCCTGTGACCAGCATTTTGGAGGGTGGGTGGTTTCTGGCATTGCCAGTACCCCTGCCCAACCCTCAGGAGGCACAAAAGCAGATAGATTGAAGGTAAAGTTCAGGGAATGAGAAAGCCTATCAACACAGAGGCCAGGAGGCCAGGGAGAGACAGGCCATGTGCCCATGAGCCCTAGGAAAGAATCAGTGAACTGTAGTTCTCAGAATCCTAGTCTCCCTCCACCTGACCACGCCCATGTCCACATGCCCCATCAGTGGGCAGGTAGTTACTAAAATGAGCATTGCAAGTTAGGCCAGGGAGAGGCTGCAGCTGATGGGAAGTTGGGAGGTAAGACCATTTTGTTTCCTGGATGATGAATCCCCTGACCAAGATGAAGCTCCCCTCCTTTGGGCCCCCACAGCCTTACACACTGCACGCCTCACAGACTGGAGGCTTCTTAAGTGTGTGTTTTCTGCCTCACGTTCTTCCAAGTGAGGATGCTTAGCAGCCCCAGGTGTAATTCCACAGGACCCTGTGTCACCAAAGGAAGGTTGCACTTGACTTGGGGACTCATGTGTTTCCTCAGATGTGACCTTGAGGCCCTTCTCTTTAATATTGTGTATATGAAAAAATCCCACAGCCTTCAGAAGTGCTTGCCTTATCTTTGACTTTTGTCTCCGGTTTCTTAAGTGAAGCAAGATGACCAGGGGGCTAAGTAGGTCTTGCAAGGGCCTGGAAACTTCCGCAGTAGAAAAGGATTAGTGGGGTTAGGCATCTCTTGGCCATTCAGAAATTCTTCCTTCAAGTGTGGGTTGAGGTCTCTCTTAGGCGGCTGCACTGGCAGAATCTCTCTACTTGCTAGTCAAGACCATCGCCCCAAGCATTCTGCACCCCCTCACTTCTTGTTCACGGCCCCTTGAAGGCGCAAGAGGCTTGAGTAGTTGTAGTCCTTTGGCATTCCTCTCTCCAGCCTCATGGGAAAGCCAACAAAAGATAAGGTCTCTACCCTCTGACAGTGGCACTAACAGCAGGGAAGGAAATTCAGGGCTCAGCATGGCCATGCCCAAATCTGCAAACATCCCCCTCACCCCCACCCCCCACCCCCCTGCCTGGTATGAAGTAGGAATACTTGCTCAGCACCAGCTCCTTTGGGTGGCCCTCTTCCCTCTTCTCTTCCAGGTCTACCTCGATCTCGGAGTCAGACCTGCCTTCCAGAGCTGCTGCGGTTTCTGGGACAGAATGTCCATGCACGCAAGAATAAGAATGTGGACATCCTCTGGCAAGCTGCTGAGGTACTCGTCATAGTGCAGAAGAGTTATGCTGCGCCTTCCAAGAGTCACTGTAGTGAAGACAGATCAGGGAAGGGAGCACAGATTCCTCTCACAAAGGCACAAGGAAAGGTCATGACTGCATAGGTTCAGCAGTACAGGAGGACACTGGACACCACTGCTCAGGTTCCTCCAACACCTGGTGGTAGACACAAGGGAAGGTCACTGCATAGGAAACATCATTGTATGCATAGGAAAGGTCACTGTATTGTATGAAGCGTCACTGCATAGTTTCATAGAGGACTCTGAGTACCATTGCCCAGGATTGATTCTCAAAGGGCTACCTAGATTCCCACAGAAGACATGGAATCTGTCCCTCGGGCATTTACCACCTGGGCTGATGTGTTGTCTCTGAAGAAGCATGTATACCCATTTGATCCCAGCTGAGATCTTAGTACCTAGGCTAGAGAGATTCCAAGAGGGACTGACTGCTTCTTAGTGTTTGGAGAATTCCTATTCTGCATTGCTGTTCAGACTTATTGCCCAAGCACCTGCACTGCTAGTATTTTCTCAGAACTTTAGTCAGGGAATTCCAAGGCTGAGCAGTTCCCTGGTCAGTCCCTCATGTGCCCCTCATGCCCATGGCAGTGTGTCCTGGCCAGGTCTGGAATTCAGCAGTATGAGGTGCTCCCTCTGACATTCAACCTCCCTGCCTGGGTCTGAAGGAACACAGGCAGATGCTGGTTTGACTGTACCCACTCATACTGGTGGGAGATGTCACTGTCAGACAGGTTTTCCCAGCTCTGTCTTCCATGGCAGCAAATAGTCCCTGCCTGGCCTGGTGCTTGCTAGACCATTCCCAGTTGTTGTTAGACCCTGATTTAGGCTGTCTTTGTGTGGCCATTTTCTTGGACAAGCTTTAAGTTTGAGTTGCTAATAACCGTGGCTGCTGAGCTGCTTGTGAAGTGACGCTTTAGAGAGCAGACCTTCTCTGCACGTCGGTGCCTCATCTTCTACCATAGGCCAGCTGGAAGACCTTACCCTGTGCTGGTGTGGGGTGGGTCTGTCGTGGATCTGCTTTGTCTGCTTAGGCTGCCCTTTGAGCTTGTAATTATATTGGAGCTTGCTTTGAAACACTAAGAGACAAAAGTCTTAGCAAGATTCACAGACTGCATTTTCCCATTTCTCTTAGTTTGCGATCTGGTTTGGCACTGTCAGGCTGGGCCTATCAAATGAGACAGAAACACAGAAGGAGAACATTCCTTCTCTTGGATCTTTGCAGCAGAGCAGGGGGGTGCCCCTTAATTTAGTCTGAGGGAACTACTATGGAGTAATAGCCCCTTTCATAGGTGCCCTTGTGAACTTCTGAGAGCCAGCCTTTTCTATGCAGCACAGTCCAGAGGGTGACAGACAGATGCTGAGCAATGTAGTGCCTTCCCTCGCTGATCCATTCTTAGAATAGCATAGTGACTGATAGCTGTGCAGATGCACACACCCATGCATGTCACTGTGGGTTCTCTGGCTACTGCACACCACAGAATGATCATCAGTTAGATGTGGGGGCAGCTGACCTTTTCTGTCAAGTCAGAAAGCAGGCCTTCCAGTCCTGTCGTTTCTGTTTCTAGTAGAGCTCCAGTCAGAGAAACATAGGTTCAGGGGAGCAGAGTTCCTATGGACCTTTGTATATTTCCTTTTATATCCCATCCCATATGGTCATCTGTGGGTGACAGTGGGTATGGGGCAGCAAAGCCATGCCACTTAGAGACTGCGTCCCTCAGACCTGTTCTCTTCTGAATCTTCTTTTCCTTTCTGCATATGAATAGAATCCCAGCTAGTCAGCTGAAAACCAGGTCTCGCTTATATAGGTGGAGACACATAGTCAGAGCTCCACAGCTAGCTGCAGACCAGGGCTGGGAACCTGGCACTGCAGATCCCTTACTGTGCCAGGGACTACTGTGTCTAGGAAACAGGAAACTAGGAGCATATCTAGAAATGTAGACATGCCCCAGTGTTCTTTCGGTGGGAGAGGAATTACACTGTTATGTCTGGGGACAGGGCCTCTGTGAGTGGCAGTAGCTTTCCCTGGCTGCATTATCCTGTGCTCCTATTCCTTGTGCCAAGAAGGTGTAGCATGGTTTAGAAGGGATAGCTGGTAAGACAGTGCAAAACAGTGATGCCCAAAGGTCTCTATAGAAGGAATTTCCCTGGGAAAACATTCAAGGGACAGGTTCTAAGGGATGACGGTGGGGGGCAGATGAAGCTCAGGTGGAGTAAACTTAGGTTCTCATACCATCTCAGCAGGACACGAAGCTGGAGAGCCAGGCAGGCAGACTAGGAATAGACTTGAGTTAGTTTACTGTTGGTGTTCCTGCCAGACCTGTGCAAGCTCCCTCCCTTGAAGGTGCTGCCTTTCTGCTTGTTTTCCCTCTCCTAAGAGCCTATTTCCTGCCGCAGGTCTGTCGCCGCCTTAATGGGGTCCGATTCACCAGTTGCAAGAGTGCCAAGGACCGCACAGCCATGTCGGTGACCCTGGAGCAGTGTCTGATCCTGCAGCATGAGCACGGCATGGCCCCGCAGGTCTTCACACAAGCCCTGGAGTGCATGCGCAGGTGAGTGAGGCTGCTGTCAGGCTGCATCTGCCCAGCCACTTGCTCTCCCTTTGCTGTGTAAACTGCAGATGAGCCCGTGCCTCTGCTCCACATGGGGCCCCAGACTTCCAGAACACTTGAGTTTGACCACTACTCACACAAATAGCCCTGTCAAACTCACACAGTATTCTCTTAGAAGGCTGGGGGATAAGCCAGCACTCTGAGTAGAATTGAACTGACCCAGGCTTGGGTCAGACCGTTCAACAATGATGGGGAGTCACCTAGCTTTGGGTGGGGTTTAGAGCCCACGCTTTCTCGGCAGGCAGCTGCTTTTACATAGTATATTTGTATGCACTGTATACTTCCGAACTCCAGGGAAGGAACTGTGTCTGCAGGTTGCACTGATTTGCTCTGCTACCTCTGTAGTAGTGGACAGAGATTGCTCTCATGAGCAAAGTGTCCAGTGAGTGTTCTATGGTGATAGCTGTCTGTGTGCCCTGGCCACCTCCCCCTAATGATGTCCTGATTCTGAGGCAGCAGATGTGTTTGCAGAATGAAACCCAGAATTCAAATTGTCCTCTGTTGATGGATGCCTTGTTTCAAGCACTGCTGGGAAGCTCCCTACCCTGCATACCAAAAGAAAGGATAAGAAACCGGTCCTCCCGTCTCCTTTGATGTAGTCACCAATGCTGTTACAGTCTGTTTCCAACAGTCACTCTCCTGAGCGTTCTGCACCATCTGTCTTCTCACCGAGTCCTTACCTCGTCTGATCCTCTTATCCTTTCTGTATGTTTCTGCACTTGACCTTCTCACAACGCACAGAGGGAGGCCTGAGCTCGAGGCTCTTGATAGGAACAAAAATGGCGTCATTCCACTCCTGTCTGTCTCCAAGTTCATTTAAACCTCTCTGTTAAAGCTACTCACTCCATGCCTCTGTCCCTGGTGATAGAAAAGCAATGGAGTCTGTGTCCAGAGTATATGTACCTTTTTAGCCTCTACGTCAGATGTGATCCTGGTCCTGAGGGTGGCAGCTGTTGTGCACCCTGTTAGTTGTGCAGTGAGGGGAAAGCCTGATCTAGTGAGCCACAGATGTCAACTACTGAGGACGTGAGGACTGCAGAGTGGGTCCCTGTGGTGGTTCAGCCAAGGCCAGGACCAGTGTGCTTCAAAGGCATACCCTAGGGACCAACCACTATCTCCAGTGGTACCCCCAACTACATCTCCCTCGTACTGCAATAAATTACAGCTCAGTCAGTGGGTTAATCTATTGATAGATGCAAAGGCATCATGCTCCTGTCTCCTCTCAGTGGGGTGCACTAGCTGGGGCCCACAGCTGCCAGTAATGCCCATGCAACAACTTAAACAGGGGCTGCTCTGACAGCCATCCACAGGGAAGGACAAAATATAGATAAAATGTAGGGAAGCTCTTTGCTGACTGTAACGTGGATGGCCTCTGGTCTGCTTCCATTACCCTTTAGAATCTGTTTACAGCACTGGAAGGCTCATTCAGGTTGCTTCCCCAGACTTTTCTAAATTCCTCCTGAGTCTGATGATCCAAGAGTCACAATACCCCACTTTTTCAGTGCAAATTTCTGTGTGACTCAGTTTCCCGCTGCGGTGATCTGAGAATGGAGTGGAAGGTAAGAGGCGTCCACAGTCTTCCAGTTTCAGCTGGTTTGTTTTTTGACTGTGGTGAGGCAGGCTCCCAGCAGACAGGCATGGCTGAGCACAGATGCTTACACAGAGCAGGACCCAGGGAGCGATGGAGGCCTGGGATTAGACACACCTTCAAAGACACATGCCTTTGTGCTTGCTCCAGGAAGTAACCTTGCATATACACTCTGGCAAGACACTCTATAAACTGGATGGGACACATACAGAAGGAAGGCGTGAAAGGAGCGTTCCTACAGGGAGAGGGAGAGGCTTGGGGTAAAAATGACGAAAATTCCTGGTATAAGTGTATGACCCTTCAAAACAAATCTAAGGGCTGTTGAGATGACTCGGTAGGTAAAGGGTTTGCACGATGACCTAGGTTTGATCACTGGGGCCCACATGGTAGAAGGAGAGAACCAACTCTTGCAAGTCACGCAGTGCCCCCCCCACCCCCATGGCACATGCATATGCAACAAATCAATGTAATAAAAGATTTTAAAGAAGCATACTTTACTCTGATCTGCACCCTCCAACCAGTCCCCACCTTCCAGTTCCTGTAAGTTCCTGTGAGCCACGTGGGCTCAGCTCAACTCAGCACCCACCAGGCTGAGGCCGAACATAATGGCACAGACAGAAGTGGCCCTCTGTCCCATGTTAGGAACTGAAATCCTCAACCATAGGCCCTCCTGGGGCAGCTGCAGTGGCCCGCCAAGCAGCCCCGGCAGACATTGTGATCATCAGTCAGAGCTTGCCAGCTTGCACAGTGTCTCCTAATTTTCACAGCTGCAGAAGGCATCTTGAGCCCCTGCCTACTCATGTGCAGGCTGTTCTCTCAGAGTGCCAGCCAAGTCCTGAGAATGGGGCCTGCGTCAGTGTTGCTGTTTGCTAGATAGAGGTGTTGCTCCTCAGTCCTGTGGTTCCAGATACCATCCAGCCTCAAAAGCTCTTTCACTTTTTTGGTAGAGGGCTTGAGCTCAAGGCCTAGTACCAGATAGTGTCATTTACCATTGAGCTACAGTCCGCCTCTAGGACATTGTTTCTTTAGCACTGAAAGAGGGAAAAATCCCAAATTTCCATTGTGAATTTGGTTGACTCTATTTTGAAGGATCATCTTCTAGAACAGTCCACTACAAAGTGGGAGACAGGATTGTGTTACCCCTCTGACACTCTGACACTCGAGGCAGGTGTGAGAGGACACAGCCCTGGATTCACACCCAGGTAAATGACTTTGTACCCACGCCCCTCAGGCGTCTGTGAGAAGGTCAAACCCCATGGTTCTTCATGTTCAGCTTGCTTCTCAGAAGTGCTCATCTGCAGCATGTGGGGCATGGCGGGCGGGCGGGTGGCATGGAGCTGTGCTTGGCCAGCTGAGAGAGGGTGAACATGGACAACCATCCTTCAGCCTGTGTGTGTTTACTTTGGTGGATGCAGGATTCTTTTCTTATCTTCACTTCTCTTCTCTCCTTCTCTTCCTGTGACTGCTGGTTCTGTTTGTTCTTCTGTCCACACTTCTCTGCATCTCCTTTTTCTTTCTGTTGTGGTTCATTCCATTTTTTTTTTAAATCTTATCTTTTGGTTCTCTTTCTCCCCATACTTTTGGGTAAAACCCATCGCATGTATCTTTTTCTTTCTTTTCTTCTTTCTTTTCTTTTTCCCTTTTCTTTTCCTTTCTCCCAACTTTTTCCTTTTCACAGCATTGGAACACGGGAGGTAGTCACCCAGAAGAACTTGAGCGGCCTGGTGCCCATCCGAGACTTAAGGCTAGACCCCAGCCTCCTTTGTTCCATTCCTTTACTAGCTCTGAGCCCCAATTTACTGATAGTGTGGCTCTTTCTGAGCATAGCGTACCTGGTGACCAAATTGCGTTGCAAATAGATATCATTATGAAAACTTAGTCACAAGACAGACAAGAGTGCCCCAATATGTCCAGCCACTGTGTACCAAACTGGACAGAAGGAAGGTGTCAAAGCAAGGTCTGCCAAGAAATATGCCTTACAGTTTGACGTTCTGTTCTTCTGAATTGTATATACCTGCCAAATTCTTTCCTCAAGAGGACTTGTTCATTTTGATTGTGTAGTGTCTTCAGTGCTTGTAACATGTTCTTCTGGTGCCTGTGACTGCAATATTTAGCTGGCCTGGGATTACTTGTACCAAATATCTTATCTTCTAATGTATAACTGTTTATTACCTGTACATCTTCTGTGCCCTGTTCCAAGAGGAAGGGATGCTGTCTGAAAAGAATTTGTATATTTGATACGATTCCTTAAGTGTATTGCTAACCTTCCTTGCCTTTTGATGAGAAAAAGATGCTTATCAACCTGTTTATTTAGATGCCCCATGTAATCGACCTGTACTTCCTACTTACCTTTCAAAGTGTAGTCCTGGGAGTGCAATAGCAAATAGTTTGCAGAGTCGCACTTGTTTGCTTCTGTTTCTCTCCACTTGGTGACGACACAGCTGTAGATACAGGAGCACATGCCTCTGAGTCCAGCACATCACATGCTGCATGTGACTTCAAGGTTGTTCTTAATACAAGTACTAGTGAGGGGGATATACTTTTTCTTGAAATAACAATTTTTTTATTTAAATACTGTATGTTTAATTCCAGATAGTCTAGATATCTTTTTTTCTTTTACTAATAAAATAAGGTTAATAATAAACAAAAAAATCAAAATGTTGTAAAAAATGAGGCTTAGGTTTTGGCAGTTGTGAGACTTGGAGCTGTGAGGAGGAGGGACCCTCTGGGTTTTGCCACTGTGGCTCCTAATTTTAACACAGTACTGCTCCTTAAACAGGATGACTAGAGACCCTGACAATTATGTGTGGCAGAGAGCAATTGTCCTCTGTAAAAGTAACCAAGTCACCTAGGAATCAGTCCATGAGCCTTGTATAATACACAGTGAATGGCTTCTCCATTGTCTGGTCCATATTAGGTCATGTTTCCAATTTTGACCTCCAGTTGGATGAAGGAATTTTTTTTTTCTTGAATCTGGTGGAAAACCTAGAGTGACTTAGAGTAGCCAGAGTTTCTAGTACTTAATATCCTCATGTTCCCAAACCCACCCAACATAAATCTAGCCCTTCTATTCTCTCCCCAAGACTTCTTGACCATAGTTGGAGGATTTTCTCTGGTTTGGATTCCTCTAAAAGAGTACAATCTAGGAGTTGCAGAAGCAGTTAGTAGTGACTACCAGATGCCAGAATCTGTAAATTGGGCTGAGTAAGCCTGTCCTTCTTTGCAGATCTGAGCACTGCAGGATCACCAGGGCAGGCCTCACCTCTGTGTCTCCACAAAAGCAGGTCTAAGTGTCTCTCCTAGTATAAGCATGGTGACAGCTCTGTGGCATCTTTTAGTTTAGTGTCTCACCCATTGCCAGCTGACATTAGTCACTAGACAGACACAGTCAGTGATTCTTTGAAAGGAGTACTTGTTAGGTTGCCCTTCCACCTCAAAGCATGTGCTTCAAGCCTCTAAGACCATCTTGTTTGCTTCATTTGAATAGAGGAGAAAGAGCCCATAGCCTCCTTCCATCTGCATTCCACAGCCTCCCATTCCATGCTCCTGGTCCGTACTCTCCTGATACCATGGAGGTGACTCAGGAAGGCATCACTTCCAGGGTTGTGCTGTGGCCAAGCAGAGAGAGACCATAGACAGGTGAGGGAGGTCTGCAGAGTAACTACAGAGACAGCACCCTCGGAACCCTAGGGACCAGGATGTCCACAGCTCTTTGCAGGGACTCTTTCTCTGGGTCATTATACAACAAGGAGGAGCAGTGGCTGGCTAAAAACATCCCCACCCCCAATCCTGGGCAAGGAGACTCCTGATAGGACTCCATGGTCTGTTGTGCCGGCCACCCTTCTGTCCTATATGGCCTCAGCTGAGGGGATAAAAGGGTCAGAAAGGCAAGCAGTGGGGTTCCTTGTTCCTCTTCCAGGGCTGAGCAGAATGCAGCACAGCACCCCAAAAGGCTGGCTTTGGGAGTAAAGCCCAGCACTGGGGTTTGAGATGTGCATTTCCTTTTCTTCTAACGCACTAGGGAGGCCGGGAGACCAGCCTGCAGCACGCTCTTCCCTCATGCTGTGTTTTAACATCACTAAGGCCCTTTGTTCATGAAATCAAGCCAAATATATATTCAGAATCTTGTCTACTTCAGCAAGAAATGAGGAGAAAGCGGGTGGAGAGAAGCTCCAAGCTAGGTCCCTGTTAGTGCTGGGTGATGGTCTCTGTTGCTTCTGAGTAACCCTGAGCTGTGGTTGGAGACAGCCAGTGAGTGTTGCTCCTGCTGCAGTCAGCAGCCTTGGGCATAGAGAACCAGATTCACAAGGATCTCTTGTCAGTGTGCCTGTAGGAAATGGCTGTGTGAGCTCTCTGGGCTAGATTGGCACTGCTCCCCATGTGACATTCAGACTGAGACACTGAAACAGGGACACCCTTCCACACAGTCACCCCCCATGTCTGCTGTGGCATGGCTGAGACGTGAGGCCTTTAGATGAACTCTCAAGTGGGAAGCCCCCAGAAAAGTAAAAGCAGAGGTGTTTAGGATTGTCCTTTATAGTTTCCATTCAAATATCCAGAGTTGATGTCCTTAGAATGAGGTCATGTCTGAGATAACAAAGAATCATCAGTAGTTATACAATAACTAAATCTTTATTGCTAAAATCTTCCGGAAACCTTGTCATGTAGTATTGCCCCTAAAGACACTGTAGCAGTGTCATCAGTGAATGTATTCTGCCTCAGGTCACCATGCTGGACTCTGAAGACCTTGTCCTAAGCCTTCCAGCCAGGTCATGGACACTTGCAGATCATTCTGGTAGTGGTAGCATGCAGAACAGGCATGCCAACCAGCCAGGACATAAACACAGGTTAAAGGCATAATCTAAATTGTAAGTTCATATATTCATGTACAATGTATACAGCCAGCTAAATGCAGTATTAGCTCCTTCCATGTGTGAGTGCACAGACTGTCAAAGTTTATGTTATTGTTGGGCACTTATGGGGTAGGTGGGTGGGTTGAGGACCCTTCTGTATAAGTGCAGAAGCCATATGTGAGTAGGGCACTTCCAAAGACCACAGCAGCTCCACTGTGCACAGGTGCCTACAGCTCTGCTGTAAATACATTTCTATTTTATCCATTTCCTGAATGTTCAGCAGATGCTGTCCTTGGCTCTGGGTGGCCCAGGCTTTGCTCAGCTGACACATGCAGCCTATGGCTTGAGGCTCTGGAACAAAGATGTGCACGTGTGTGGCTGGAGCAGTCTGCAGCTGAGGCCGATGCTTTTCTAACCTGCCTGTCCTCATTCTTTTTGGATAAACATTACTGCCTCACAGAAAACTTCCTGACATATTCTTAATAGGGGGACTGTCATTTTTATTGTGAAAGGCTTGAGCTCCTATTTTTTAAAAAAACGTATGCCCTGTGGTCTCCTTAGAACTTGAAATACTTTTTTCAAACCACTGCTTCTTGGTAACTGCAAATTTTACATCTCAGGAGGGATTTTTTTACTGAACTTGATAACTGCTTGATTTCATTGCTACTCTGTGAACATTATAAAAACAGTAAGTTTCACTGTGTAGTGAGGCATTCATATTCAGCGTAACTTTTGGCTGTTAGTGGTATGCCCACCCCAGAGCTTTGCCCAGAGAACTCCCTTGAGATTCCTCTGTGGCTTCCCTGGCCCCTCGTCCCTTTGGGCACCATTTGTTTTGCCCCTGGGTTGCTATGACATCCCTCCATCAGGCACAGCTGGGAGTTGTGTTGGTGGTGAGTTCTCCAAGGGCAGAGTGGCTGTGGGCTCACATGGGGGCTCAGTGGTGCTTGCACAAGAAGTGGCCACAATGGAAGCAGCCCACATGGAGAGTGGTGGTGACTGACCCCCTAGAGATCAGTAAAGCCTTCACAGAACACCAGCCTGATAGCCATGAAGTCCTGTTCTGCAGCCAGCACATGGGCCTATATGGGTGTTTTGCACTTGAACAGCTGCCCCTAGGTAGAGACAGATTGATCACAGCAGCCTCCTCAGCCAGATGGGTTTTGGTACCTGTTGAATTCTACAAGGAAAGTTAGCATGTGGAGTTTGCAGTGGTCACAGCTTTTGGTAACATACAAAAGGTACAGTGTTTCAGAAGCCATGCTGAGAGTCAAATACACACGTTCATTCCGTTTGCTGTCTAACAACCTTTGAGCCACAGGTTATGCTAGAACCCAGATAACCAAACCCAAGATACACGCAAAATCATGTATTTTTAAAGGATTGTGTCTGCTTAGATACAACATGGCTCTGGAACTGCCAGCCCACACTGCATCCAGCATGTGTCCGTCTCTGTGCTTCTTAGCTGCCTTGTTCAGAACCACCATCTTCCCTGTGTGCTTGTTGTAAATGAGTCCAGCAGCCATTTTAATTAATCCTTCTTTAATGCTATGGAAATAATCGGTTCATTTCATCTTAGTTTAAGTCTTTTCTTTTTTCCTTTTTTACTGCTGTCATTTCTTGTGCTTGTTTTTCCCCAGTGAGGGTTGTCGGCGAGAAAACACAATGAAGAATGTTGGAAGTCGCAAATATGCATTTAACTCCCTGCAGCTGAAGGCCTTCCCCAAGCATTACAGGCCTCCAGAAGGGACTTACGGAAAAGTTGAGACATGAACACACGGTTTCCTCTAATTAGCTGTTACGTAATCAATGTGGGTCCCTGTAGTGTCACATACGATTCTTCAAGAAGACCTGAAGGATTGCTTTTTATTTTTGTGTTTTTAAAGACATGTCACTGAAGAGTCTGTGGAGCATGATTTTGTGCTGGAATCTGTAGGGTCACGTGTGGGTCAGTAGTGTGGATAGTAACGGCTGCTCTCAACAGCTTTCAGCTGTCACTAGACAGTTAATGTCATAGTTCCTAGATGCCAGCTAGGTCTGCCTAAAACTCCAGCAGACTTTTTCAGATATCCACTTAGGCACTGCTCGTCCTGTTCATTTCTCAGTTCAGTAACTCACAAGTGAACACTAACTTAAAATCTACTTTCAAAAATACTGAATATAAAACAGGAAGTACCTACCCCCTTACACTTCAGGTCCCAGGCAGAGCAGTAGATGTTAACTTAGCTTGGGGGAAAGAACCTCCAGGCCATGAGAGAGGCTGGTTCTAGTGGCCCTCAAAGGCCACCACTCTGTGAAACCCAAAGTGGAAGGAAAGCTTGGTTGGTCACACCAGGAGCTCACACACCCAGAACCACACTGTTCCTGCCCTCACAAGTCATAGATGAGGCTCTGCTTGAGATGTAAAGCCAGCTGTGAGGTCCTGGACTCCGACCCCCACCCCGGCACCCCTGTATGCTCCATGTATGCTTAGCTCTACCCCACAGGGTGTATCTCCCTTTGTTCTCTGGCAGTCAGGACCTTCAATATGGTTTGTCAGGTGTCTGGGAGACAACTCTCCAGATGGGAATTTAGAGCCAGAGAGACAGTAGAAACTTAAATATTTTCAGAATAAATGTTGAGGGAGCTTTCTAATAGTCTTCTAGAAGACCGTAAATCATGTTTGAATGTCTAGAGAAAGCGTCTTAGTTTCTGGTCTGCAATAATGGTTATGGTCCCCCTCCTGTTTCACAGCTATTGAGAAACAGTTAAAACTGTCCCCTACCTTGAGAGTCTGAGAGGAGGTTATGGGACAGGAACTCGAGGGATTTTATAGACAGTTCATTCTGCTCATCTTTTACGAGGTGGCGATGAGCCTTATCTGCACATGGCAGATTTTTTTTCCTTAGAGATTTACATGTTCTGTAAGTTCTGTTCATCGTAATTCTGTTTACACATTATTTAAAAGGCCGTAAAAAAGTGTATATGGACTGTATTCATGATACTGATCCTGATGATTCGTGACCACCGTGGCATTCTTAAAGAAGCCCAGCTAACTTTCTTTTGGCTCCTTCAGAGACAGGTCACAGCTTGGATCTGGGACATTTGAGGCATAGACAGGACTAGTCTTGGCAAGAGACAGGGAGGGTGCAGGCATCCCTCTACCAGTGTGCAGACAGCCTCCTGTCTCCTGGTGCCTGCTGGGAGGAGGATGTACTCTGCTAAGGGGTGGTGTAGCTCGCTGCCCCACCCTCCAGGCAGGGCACTGTGGAAGGTGAGTGGCCGGAAGTTCTCTTCACCCAACCCTCCACTCAGGTCTGCTCTGCTGCCATCAGTTGTCCTGAAGCCTCAGGCCCTGATCAGGCCTGGTTAAAGGTGGCTGAGTCTCAGTGCGGCTGGCTGAGCCTTTTAACTCCTGGTTGGTTCACTTACTCTTAGGTTTTAGGTTTTTTTATTTGTTTTTTTTTTTTCTCATTTTGACATCACTGCCTTTTAAAAGTATTTCTTCAGATTTTAGAATTAAATGTTTCCTGTGTTCTCCAGCTTTCCTTTCTGTCCAAAGGGCATTTGACCGTCCACACTTACAAAGGGAACAGGCGAAGCTGACTCATCTGTTGGCTTCTGCATGTGAATTACTTTCTCAGTTTCTGTTTTATAATATGAATCACTGTAAAACTCTAAGACTTGGCTAATCACAGAAAAGATTGTGGCTTCAGTGTTTTCTCTGAAGGCATTGTAACTGGTTTCCAGAGCATCACACATGCCCCGGAAGGATCCTCTCACACAGAATGGGCTCAGCAAGCTCCTGGGCTGTGCACAGGGGGCCGAGTTGTTCCCTGTAGGAGGAAAACAGTTTTACAGACGGCCCATCCAGCGTCTACCCCCATTTAAAAGGAATGCGCAGTCTCTGGACAGCTGGGAATGCCGTGCGGATCCTGTCAGAGCTCCTGCAGCACAGCTGCCTTTACTGTCCTTTAAAGATGTAAAAATGTTGTACAGTACTGTTTTATCTCCCGACACTTGTATTTGCTCAGCTTACTGCATTTAAATACTTTTATTTATTTATTTGTTTGGGACAGTATTAATATATATGAACATATAGTCACTGTTTTATATATTCTTAGCTTATTCAAAGCCATGTATGCTGTAAATGTGCTTGGCTTTAGAATGGTAAATAATAAAAACTGACAAGAACATTAAACTCAGTCTCACTTGATTCCGTCTCCTACACTGGAAGGATGTTCTCCGGTTGGCGCCAGACTGTGGTCATGCCTGGGCTTGGGGGCCAGGAGTCAGGAGCTTGCAAGTGGGGTTCAGGAGAGACTACAGCCTTTTTAAACATGTTTTTCATGAGTTTGAATTAAGGTATGTGGTTAAGAATAGGGACACCGGCAACTGGGGGACAAAGGTGGGGATAACAGGAGGCTAGCTTGTTCTAAACCTGCTCCTAAGGATCCCAAGAGGGAGAGATAGCTTCTAATCGGTCTCTGTGGCTATCTTTATACATTTTTAATGCTATTTACTTATTGTGGTATGTGATGATATTTATGCATTTTAATACTATTCATCTATTTGTATTAATGTGTGGCATATGTGTGTGGTGTGCTGAGTGTGCATGTATGTGTGCATGTATGGGGTGTGTGGGATGGTGTGGGGTATGTGAGGTGGTATGTGTGTGTCTGGTGTCCTCATACACTCATGCTAAAGTCAAAGCTCCCAAGAGTCAGTTCTCCCCTCCTTCCACAGGAGTCTTGGTGAGCTCAAGTGGCCAGGTGTGTTGGCAGCAGTATCCACTGAGCCACCTGTCAGTTCTGTCACTTAATGCACCCTCTTCTTAAAGGCCCGTGTGACCCAGTATGTAAGATCAGGAAGAAGACAGACAAGCATACTACTATTTAAAGGGGGGAATGGAAAGATTGGGAGTTCATTCCCACGAGCGCTGAACAGATGAGACAGTAGATATGGAACCTTATCAGGCTCTACACTCTCAGTGGCACCCTTGCATGCAAAATGGGCATGACCAGAATTGTCCACCCATGCGTGTCAGGACCAGTCAATCACACTGTCCTTTTAGGGACTATTGGGTAACTCAGGGTAGGAGAGCAAGAGGAGGCTTTATTGTGCTCTGGATTGCAAGAACCCCTCTTCTTCCTTGGCCTAGGAAGGCTTCTCCAACAGAAACCACATTGCTGTCACCACCCAAGTTAGGACACAGGTCCCTGGGGAGTAACATAAGAATACTGATGTCCTCATTCCCAAACCTCACCTGCGCATGCACACTCTGAATCCCTTATGGACCTAACAGCAGTCTTTGTGTTAATTTATGATAATTACCTGAAGCCTAGAAGACCAGTGTCTGTCAGTGTGTGATTACTTTGTACTGCTTTAGAAAAAAAAAAAGGGGGGGGGCTGAAGAGCCAAGCTGCAGACACCGGCAAGAGATAGCTGCACTCTACCCTCCCCTTGCTCCTCGGGCCCTTGAGAGCAGACTAATCCAGGATAAAAACTTTCTAATCCTGGTTGCCTCATACGTAGCATGTTGACAGACTTGTGGGTGCACTTCCTCAAGCTAGTCTGAACAGTGACCCCAGTTTCTATCCTGGATTATCCTTCCCCCTAGACACTGGTGAGCAGGTTCATGCTCTGAGCCTTTGACTCCCTCCACCAACAGTAAACCAAGGGATACCATACACTGTCAGCACCCCCACAAGCACACAGTAAAGTGGGCTACCTTTTGATCCATATTTTGGCTAACCAATCAGATAAATAGCATCTTTCTTTTTACTACCTGTGTAAACCCAACATTAAACCAAGAATGTCTGTTTAAATGGATCCATATTAGTCAATTCAATCTGATTTAGCTTTGTTCTTTTTTTTCTTAAACAACTAAGTTTTGAAAGTAATTGCTTATTTCATGTATGTGAGGACACTGTAGCTGTCCTTAGACACACCAGAAGACAGCATCGGATCCCATTACAGATGGTTGTGAGCCACCATGTGGTTGCTGGGAGTTGAACTCAGGACCTCTGGCAGAGTTCTTGACTGCTGAGCCATCTGTCTGGCCCTTTAGCTTTTGTGCTTTCTGCTTCTATCCCTGCCTTTAAATTACAACCCTGTACATATTTGCCCAGACTCTGCTTTATGAATTAGAAAACGTAAGCTCTTCAGTATAGTCACCTCGGGGGTCCCATTGTGTACCTCACCGGACTGTAGATCTCTAGGTACAAATGTTGGGGGGGATGGCCACAGTCTCTTTCTCAGTGGCTTCCTCAGGGAAGGTCATTACTGTTTCTACACATAATGTAGGTTATATCCTCAGGCAGAGGGTAGGGGTGCTGCTGTAATGTAGAGTAGGGAAGACAGTCCTGTTAAACCATCAGACTTGGAGAATTCAGTATCCCCAGCTAGCTCATCGCCACCCAGCACACTCACTTTAAATGATGTCGGCTGAGGAGAGCTTGTAAGTCAGCCAGTGCATGATGGAGACTTGTCTTTAGTTTTGGGAGCTTCAGTTATGGACCATTGAAAGGAGTGTGTGTGTGTGTGTGTGTTGGGGTGTGTGTATGTATGTGGCATGTGTTTGGTGTGTGGCGTGTGTGGTATGTGTTGTGTGTGGTGTGTGTGTGGAGTGTGTATGTGTGTGTGTGGTGTGTGATGTGTGTATGTGGTGTATATGTGGTGTGTGTTTGGTGTGTGTTGTATGTGGCGTGTATGTGTGGTGTGTATGTGTGGTGTGGGGGGGTGTGTGTCTAGTGTATGTGTTGTGTGTATGTGTGTGTGGGGTGTGTTTGTGTGGTGTGTATGTCGTGTGTGTGTTTGTGTGTGTGTGTTTGACTATAAAGGGATTTATTGACTTACTCCGTTGGAAGCTTAGCTTCCTACATTCTGGAGAGGCTGAGAACCTGGCAGTGGCAAAGCTGGAAGCCTCAGAACAAGAGACCAATGATACGGTCTGAGTGTGAACCTGAAGGCCCGGAAGCTCCCTAGGCAGTTGCTGGTCTGAGTCTAATCTTTACAGGCAATGCAGCAGCAATAGACACTTGCTGGAGCCTGTGGCACTGTCTGGCTTTCTCTGTCTCTGGTTCTCTTACATCTGGGGCCTCAACCTACTAGGGTGCAGCCCACATTCCTGGCCTGCCCTTGCCGTTCCTCTCCTGTGTCAATCCTCTTCAAAGTGTCCTTCTAACACACTCAGAAGTGGCATTGTACTAACCCCAGGGCCCTCTCAGTCTCGCCAGCTAGGATCAGCTGTCAGCACATGCCATCAGGTCATTTAGATCTGTCTTTCCCCATACACCCTGGTCCCTCCTGGTCCCTGGTCGGGAACACTGCTCTCCCTCCTCCTGCTCCCTTTAAAGCTCATCTCTAATGACCACTTAGGAAAAAGTCCTTTAAATATTCTCATCTAATTTTTAATAGTTGACAATTTGTTTGTGAATGTATTTTGTAAAAGGCTTATTTACATTCTTCTAAATGATATGTCTTGCATATTTGGTCTGCCCTGCCATTTACCTTTGTATTCATAAGGACAGGTGTAGTTCTTGCAATAAAGGAGCTGCTCAGAGTTTACTGGATGAGGGGCTGGCAAGACAGCTCAGCAGGTAAGAGTGCTTGTCATTGAACCTTACAATCGGAGTTTGATCCCTAGATCACATGGTTAAAGGAGAGAACTCCCTCTGACCTCTGCATGCACACATGTGCTCACACCACCCCACCCCCAGTTTACTAAACGAAGATAAATAAATGGTGAGTTTGTAGTGTTATTGAACCCTTCCAATGCCTGCGCTATGTTGTCTGTCTTCCCTTGTAGCCACCAGTTATTCTAGATTCAACGGAAGAGGACAAACTTGGGAGCACAGTGTGGCAGCAGCACAGTCTTTCTTGGGAGCAAGTGAGAGGGTATTTATTTATTTTAGAGTTTCTATTGTTGCGACTAAACACCATGACTAAAAGCAAGTTTGGGAGGAAAGGGTTTATTTGGCTTACACTTTCATATTGCTATTCATCACTGAAGGAAGTCAGGACAGGAACTCAAAACAGGGCAGGAACCTGGAGGCAGGAGCTGATGTGGAGGCCACGGAGGGGTCCTACTTACTGGCTTGCTTGACCTTTCTTATAGAACCCAAGACCACCAGCCCAAGGATTCCACTTTCCACAATGGGCTGGGCCCTCCCCCATTAATCACTAGTTAAGAAAATGGCCTACAGCTGGATCTTACGGAGACATTTTCTCAGTTGAGATTACCTCTCTTCAGATGACTTTAACTTGTGTCAAGCTGACATAAACTAGCCACTGCAGCATCTTATAAACATGAGGGATGATGAGAGTCAGGATGAAGGTGACATGACTTGTCATTTGATGACACTAAACATTCTATCTCCTTTCCTCTATACTGGTTATATTTAATAACGAAAATTATTTAAATCCAACACTCAAAAGAAAAACCTGGAAATGAAATTTAGGAAAGTGGGCCAAGGATCAGTGGGTGTACATGCTTGTCACCAGGCACGCAGGCCTGAATTCGACTCCAGGAGCTATGTGGGGAGAAAGGAGAGACCTGGCTGCTGTTGTCCTCCGACCTCTATGTGTGGATATCTCCCCACCCCAAAAAATGTAAAACAAAAAAGGCTGACAAAAGCGTATCATCAAGGAACAAGATACTTAGGAATAAACAATCAAAAAGGAGAAAATCTAATACACTGAAAACCTTCAATTTTTGCTATGATTAGACACCAACTAGATACCACATGTATCTTATTGACTGGAAGAGTTAATCGTGTTCAGATGTCAGTGTGCCAGGCTGCTTGGGAGGTTAAATGCAGTCCCTATTCAAATGCCAACAGCACTCTTTTTTTTTACAGATAGAATATATATATCCTAAAATACAGAGTCTCAAAGAGTTCTACATACCCCAAATAATCTTGAAACAGAACAAAGATGCTTTGTGATTTCAAGTTTTTATTTTAGAACAAACACTTTCTGATTTCAGATTTTTATTTCAGAACAAACACTTTCTGATTTCCAATTTTTATTATAATTCTCTAGTAATCAAAGCAGTGGCATTGGCATGAAGGCAGACAGAAGCCACAGGACAGACTGGGCTCAGAGACAGCCCCACCATGCATGGTGGGATGTTTTCCCACCAAAGGGCAGCGTGCAAAGCTAGATATCCATCCACATGTGAGGAGTAGAAAGTCAGACCTTACATCACACACAAAGATGAACTCAAAATGCATCAAAGGGCAAAGCTAAGAGCAAAAAGCTAAAATTCCCAGGGCAAGCTATAGTCAGCTCCCTTGGGTTTGGTGGGTCAATGCTTTTGTGGCTATGACTACCAAAAATTCAACCAGAGTAAACAACCCAACTATTAATGGGCAAAGGACCTAAAAAGATTTCTTCAACCGATATATAAAGAAGGCCACCAAGCATATAGACCACATGACATCAGTAGTCAGGGAACTAGGAAGCAGAAGCACTGGTAGATCTTAATGCCTACTAGAATGGCCACTAAAAAGCAGTAAGATTCACAGGACAAAGGCAGTTCTAATCTCTGCACTGCTGGCAGAACATAAAATAGTGTGGCTGCTATGGAAATTATGGCAGTGCCTACTAGTAAAAACAATTACCCTATGACATACAATCTGCTGCGTGTACACTAAGACTGAAAGCGGGGGGGTCCTAGGGATATTTGTATATACATGTTCACAGCATAGTCAGGAGCTCCAGGGTGGGAACAACTGAGGTACCCACGGCTGGATGAGTAGGTAACAAGATACATACAACATACATACAACATACACTAAAATACTATTTGTCCTTACAAAGGAAGGAGACTCTGATACCTGATATGAACCTTATGGTATTTCACACACTTACACTCGCACACATACACTCACACACACACACACACTTACACACACAGAGTCCACGAGTACCAGGCACTTAAGGTACTCAAATTCAGAAACCGGAAAGAGAATGGTGATTACCATGAGGAGAGAGTATGCTAAGGACAGGGCAGGGAGGGGCGACCTGGCAGTGGCTGGGAGTTATTAGATGGGCACCCTGTGCATTTTCTGAGGTAGATGCAGTGGTGCAGGCATACTGCACTGCACTGCACTGTGAATGTGCTCCACATGATATATATGGAGCTATATGCTTAACCATGCTAAGGTCTATTATTTTTATTTAATAACTAATTTTAAAGATGGTCATGAATAAAGCTGTGTAAAATTATTTTGAGAGCACAGGCCTACAGGTAAGAGGGAAAATTTTAAAATTCTTCAGTGAAGATAAAAGCTTCTGTAAGTTTGGGTTAGGAATGGTTTCTTAGGGTACACTGAAAGGAAAACCACATTGTCGTTTTCCAATATGAAAACTGCTCTAGTCAAGAGCAGCAGTGTGTGCCTTCTGGGAAGTGCAATGGTGAAAATGCTTGCTCCATGTTCAAGGCTTTGGGGATTTCTGGCCAGCCTGGGCTAAGACACATAAAGGCAATGTATAAAAATAAAAACTGTGCTTCAGAGAGTAACTGAAAAGATTGAGAAGGACAAACCACAAGCTGAAAAAAATCCCAATTAATCTTTAACAGATGAGTCACTGTAAAAAAAATTCTTACAGGAAACTAAAAAGCTAGCCCAGCTGAAAGCCAGACTGTAAGCTAAATAAGCATTCTGCAACGGCAGCATAGCAAGCCAGTAAAGACATGAAAAATCCTCAGGTTATTAGACATTAGAGAAATGCAAACCAAGATTCCAGTTAGATGCCTCTTCATCCCAAGCAGAATGTCTGTCAGCAATATGAACAGGTTGGGGTGCTGGAGCCTAGATCTCATGACAACATGAATGGTGATAAAACCACTGTAGAAAATATAATCAAGGCTGTCATAATACGACCCTGGAGTTCTACTCTAAGGCATGTATTAAATGAAACATTTTGAACTCTTTCACAGATGTGCATAGCATTAGTCAAAAGCCCCAAAGTAGAAACAGCTCAGAGCTCGTCTGCTCGATGGAGAAACACATGGCGTCTGTCTACTATAGACTGCTACTCAGCAGAACTACATCACAGACTGATGCTACATGAGAATAAACCCTTAAACTTGGTAACAGAACTCAGAAAAGACCGGACTATATAATTCCACGCATCTAACAGACCTAGAGTAGAGGGAAGGAGGGCAGAGTGCTAACACGGGTAGGTTCTGGAGAGGATGAGGCTGTTCTGGAAGTAGACAGTGCTGACTGCTGGATGCTCCACGAACACTCTAAATTCCACGGGACTGTATAATTCAAGGTTCAATTATGAGACGTGACTTTTTCCAAATAAAGCTAAATCTAGTCAAATGGAGGCATTTCATATAAACACATTTTACTCTCAGTTGAAACTGAAGCACTAGTGGGAGATGTGGCTCAGTGGTTGAGCTTCCTAGCATAGAAAGTGCAGTCCTCCACACTGCACACAGACACCAAGCTTGGGACATAGGCGGCAGTACTGAAGGGTGCAGTACCTCCCACCCCCAGTGGGGGCAGCACATGGAGCAGACCTCGGTGACACCCTAGGGAATCCTCACAGCTTCGAGAACTTTAAAACAGGAAGTGAACTTTCCCAATCCTGGACTGCTTTAGTCCCAGTGAACTATGGAACAATACAGAAGCTCTAATGACTCCCTGTTCAATGGCAAGATCACACTGAAGATTGAGTGTCCTGATGGCTCTCTACTGTATCAAGAGGTCAAAATAAAATGATCAGGATTCTACACTTTCCCAGCCACTTTCTGTCACTGACATTTGCGATCTAGAGTGAACATCGGTTCTTTCCATTTGCTACAGATTCCATTGTTTAGGGATGAGGCCCATAGCTCATCTTATGTGACTGTGAATGCTGAGACCAGGATCTAGCCAAGATCACCAAGGATGGAGCAGGAGCATAGGACCCAGAAAGACCATAGTGCTTCAGTAGGTGTGATTTGTGGGCCAGCTCATACTCTCCTTTTTGGAGCCCAGATCTTGAGGATGTGGACTGTGGCTGATATCACCCCTTTATGAGGAGAGGGCTGGCCTAAAATTGAAACCAAGAACCAGAAACAAGTTGTAGGAGGCTGGCAGCAGGTTCTGTGTTACTATCTATGCGGACCTTATGTGGTCTCCTGTATGCATTCTGTAGAATCTGACTGAAGAGTCATCCTTGAACAGAATCTCTCCATTAGGCAATTCCCAAAACACAGTAAGTTCTTAGCCCATAGTTGTTCAGTCCCATGGATCTTCTATAAATGACTTCACCCAGCAGAAGCATTCAGAAACGGCACTGATCTGATTTCTCTGGTGTTCTTAGGAGGACCACCTGGCCCGGAGGTCGAACAGATGCGGCAGCTACTGTGCTTCCCATTCTGGTTCTTTTGTGTTAAGGACCAGAGAAACTCCTGGGTGGTTTTCATCTTGCCTCCAACATAATGTTATCAATATCCTTTTCTTCCTCTGAATCTTGATCTGGCATCCAACTGAAAAGAAGCATACATACATTTAACCACATCTGGAGTAATAAACACAGCTGTGGTAAGGGGATGTCAGCAACTTTATGAAAGAAGGAAACGAGCTTCTAGAAAACTCAGCTGAGCATGTGGTTAATGCTACAGCCAGCATTCAGGAGGCCGAGACTGAGCACACGGCTAAGAGAGCTTGTGCTAACAAAAGGAAAACAAAAGTAATGAACAGGGCACTACAAACAAGAGACCACTTCCACCAAGGGCCAGTCAACAAAGACCGAACTTCCTGTAAAACTGAACTTCCATTTTTGTTTCAAGTATACTCAATGCATGTTCTAGCAAATCTACCTTTGTAAATTCAAATGTACTGGATATTTTTAAACAGCAACTAGAAAGATTAATGATCCATGATTACGGGATTAAAAATCCTTGCGTTCCCTCCTCTTAGGCTGACCTTGTTGTTCTTTGATTTAAGCCTCACAATGGAGCCACTTTCTTAGGGGCACAGGAAGAAGAGCCTGAAGCCAGTGTAAGGCAGAATTTTGAGGTCAATAGAGCTGTTCTGGAATTTTGTAGGAAGTAATTATTTGAGACAGGCCCTATTAGTGAGTCTGACAGTAGAACATCACCTGTGTACACAGAGCATAAAGCATCTGCAAGCCTTTGTAAAAAATATATAAATTATCTATTTTTCTGTGCTATGCTATGCTATGCTATACATTGAACCCAAGGCCTTGTACATGTAGCTCAACTGCTGAGCTACATTCCGTCTTTTTTATACACTTTTTTGATAGGGTCTCATGAAGCTGTCCAGGCTGGTCTTGAACTTACTCTATAACCCAAGAAGGCCTTAAACCTGTTGTTCTTCCTCGGTCTCTTCAGATAGCTGGTATCACAGTTTTGTACCACTGGGCCTGACTGAGCTCTATTTTCAAAAACACAATCTTCAAACATGAGAAAATTTGGAAGAACCACGGTAACAGCCTGGAGGAACAGTGTGAGAACCACTGTCTGCTCTGGGTCAAAGCATGATGGAAGGCCTGCCTCTTCCTGGCATCCACCAAGTCACTGACATTTTAAATTCAAAATTATTACAGTTACTCAAGAGATCACACCTGTCAGAAGACCAGGGAGGCTGCCCACAGACTCTAAGCTCTCTCTGCTCTAGACCTAACCTCTCAGATCGTCCCTAGCTCTGCAACACAACAGCAGCTGCAGGCTTCCTGTCCCCCGACCACATCTCTTGTGGATCCCACAGACCTTTCCCTCCTAACCTCCCCACCTCCACCTGTCATTGTCCTAGCCTCCAACACCAGCAGGCACTCACTCCAGGTGAACACATCAGCTGAGCAGGCCGGAAGAGCAGGCAGCACAGCCATCACACTCTGAAAATCCAGACAGAACAGAAACCAAGGAACGAACACTCACCAAAGACAAACCCAGAAATCAGCACCTAGACAAACCTAGAAATCACCCCAAACTCAGATGCCTCGATGCCAGCATAGAAACACAGTAACACCCAGGGCAGTATGTCTCCACTAGAGCCCAGCTACTCCCGTCGCAGCAAGCCCTAAATATTCCAACAAAGCTGAAGCCCAAGACAAAGACCTTAAAGCCAACTATGTAAAGATGACACAGGTCCCTAAAGAAGAAGCGAGTAAGTCCCTTAAAGATATCCAGGAAAGCACAAACAGTTGAAGGAAACAAAATGCTTCAAGACCTAAAAATGGAAATAGAAGCAACAAAGAAACATAAACTGAGGGAATTTGCAAAATGAAAAATTTGGTAATTGAATAGGAACAACCAAGGCAACAGGATACAAGAGACGGAAAAAAGAACCTCAGGCATTGAAGATATGATAGAAATGGATATATATCAGTCAAATAAAATGTTAATCTAAAAAATCCTAACACAAAACATCCAGGAAATCTGAGGCACAATGAAAACCCAAGAATAATAGGAATAGAGGAAGGAAAAGAATCCCAACTCAAAGGCTAGAAAACATTTCAACAAAATCATAGAAAAATTTACTAACCTAAAGGAGATGCCTATAAAGGTACAGGAAGCAAACAGAACACCAAATAGATACCAGAAAAGAAAGTCCCCTCGGGTCCCTACGTCTTTTGTCTGCCTGTGGGTCCCATTCCCTAACTGGGCTGCCCTGTCCAGTCTCAGTGGGAGAGGATGCACCTAGTCCTGCAGTGACTTGATGTGCCAGGTGAGGGGAGGTACCCAGAGGAGGCTCCTTCTTCTCAGAGGAGGTGAGGAGAGAATGGGAGGAGAATCTGTGAGATGTTACTGGGAGATGTAGGGCTGATATTGAAATGTAAAATGAATAGATTCATAAATTAGAAAAAAAACTCCCCTCATTACGTAATAAAACACCAAATATACAGAACTAAGAAAGAATATTAAAAAGCTGCAAGGTGAAAAGACTAAGTAACATAGGCAGATCTATTAGAATTATACCTCATTTCTCACTTGAGATTCTAAATGCCACTAGAGCCTGGACAGATGTGCTGCAAACTCTAAGAGACCATAGATGCCAGCCCAGGCTACTATACCCAGCAAAACTTTCAACCAACATAGATGGAGAAAATAACATATTCCATGATAAGGTCAAATTTAAACAATTCCTATCTACAAATCCAGCCCTATGTGAAGGAAAACTCCAACCTAAGGAGGTTAACTACACCCATGAAAATAGAAAATCTCACACCAGCAAAACAAAAAGACAGGAAACACAACACAACCACCACAAACAATAGAAATAGCAAAATAACAGGAATCAACAATCACTGGTTATTGATATCTTTCAATACCAATGGTCTCAATTCCAAAATAAAAAGACACAGAGTAATGGCATGGATGTGAAAACAGGATCCCTGTACTTCTGCTGCATCCCAAGAAACACATTTCAACATCCACGGTAGACACTACCTCAGGGTAAAGGGTTAGAAAAGGATATACCAAGCAGATGGACCTAAGAAATAAGGTGGTGTAGCCATTTTAATATCTAATAAAGTAGACTTCAAACCAAAATTAATCAAAAGCGACGAGGAAGGATACTACATACTCTTCAAAGGAAAAATCCACTAAGATGATATTTCAGTTCTTAACATGTATGCCCAAAATATAAGGGCACCCAAGTTTCTAAAAGAAACACTACTACTGCTTAAACCCCATACTGACCCTCAGACACTGATAGAGGGAGACTTCAATACTGACTCTCATCAATGGTCGTCCAGACAAAAACTAAAGAGAAACCCTGGAGCTAAGAGACATTATAAACCAAAATGGACCTAACAGATGTACAGAACCCAAACACAAAGAATATAGCTTCCTCTCAGAACCTCATAGAACTTTCTCCAACCTTGACCACATACTTAGTCACAGAGCAAGTCTCAGCAGAAACAAGAAAACTGAAATAACTCCTACCAAACCACTGCAAATTAAAGCTGGATAGAAACAACAAACAACAGGAAGCCTACAAACTCATAGAAACGGAACAACTCTACTGAATGAAAAATGGGTCAAGTCAGAAATAGAGAAGACTTCTAGAATTCAATGAAACGGATACACAGTATACCCTAACCTAATGTCTTAATTGGTACAAGGCATTGTATTGGCATAAAAACAGATACATTAATCAATGGAATCAAACTGAAGACCCTAACGTAAACCCAAAAATATACAGACACCTGATTTTTGATAAAGAAGCCAAAAATACACACTGGAAAAAAGACAGCATCTTCAACAATGTGGAGCAAAATGAAAGCAGTGATAACAAAAGAGTTCATAGAACCAAGTACCTAGATTTTTTTTTTTTAAAAAAAAAAGAGAGACCTCATACAGCAACTTAACAGCACACCCGAAAGCTCTAAACAAAAGTGCACACCCAAGAGGAGTAGACACCAAGAAATAACCAAGCTAAGGGCTGAAATTAATAAAACAGAAACAGAACAATACAAAGAATGAAACAAAGAGTTCTTTGAGAAAAATCAACAAGATAGACAAACCCTTAGGCAAACTAACTAATGGCAGAAAGAGAGAACATCAAAATTAACAAAATCAGAAATAAAAGGGGACATAACAAAGGACAGTCAGTCCAGAGAATCCTAAGGACATACTTTAAGAACCTGCACTCCTCCAAACGGGAAAATCTAGAAGAAATAGATAGTTTTCACAGTAGGTACTATTTACCCTAATCAAGGTCTATTTACCTAAGATCAGAAAAAAAAAAAATCTAAATAGACCTATAGCCCCTAGCAAAATAGAGGCAGTCATTAAAACCCTCCCAACCAGGAGACCAGGGCCAGAAGATTTTAGCACAGAAGTCTACCAGACTTTGAAAAAGGGTTACTGCCAAAACTCCTCAAATTATCCCACAATGCAGAAACAGAAGAACTAAGAAAGAATATTAAAAAGCTGCAACGTGAAAAGACTAAGTAACATATAGGCAGACCTATTAGAATTATACCTCATTTCTCACAGTTACCTGATACCACATACTCAACAAAGAAAACTATAGACTAATTTCCCTTATGCATATAGATGCAAAATTTCTCCATGAAATACTTGGAAACCAAATCTAAGAACACATTAAAAAGATCATCCACCATGATCAAGTAGGCTTCATTCCAGAGATACAGGGATGGTTCACTATACAAAAATCAGTAAATGTAATCTGCCATATAAACAAACTGGAAAAAAAAAGAAAAAAAGACATGAAAAGGCCTCTGATGAAAGTCTTAGACAGATCAGGGATACAAGGGATATAACCAAAAGATAATAAAGGCAGTTTACATCAAAGCAAGGTATGGCAGAGTGACAAAGGGTAGGGAAGAGAAGCTAGAATTTGGGGGAGCCTTTGAGGGGTGGTATGGAAACCTAGTGTAGTGGAAACTTCCTGTAATCCATAAAGGTGATCTTAACGGGGACTCCCAGTAATGGAGAATATGGAGTCCCAACTGGCCATCTCTTTTAGTTAGGCAAGGCTTCCAGTGGTGGGTCTGGTTACATTCAATTGGGTTGTTGACCAAGAAATGTCCCATGGAAATCCCCAAACAACCCAGGATGATGCTAAGATAAAGGATTGCTCTCCACACACTGATAACAGGCCTCCCCCCACCCCCATTGCAGAGCACAACATCCACAACTCACTGAACATGGAGAATTTGAGTTGGTGCCCATACAAAGCCTTCACCCCTCCATTCCAGTCTCTCTGGTGCAGAAAAGTACTCCGCAGGCTACCAAAGAGAAACATGTACACCAACCCAGCCACAAAGCCTTCAACCTAAAATCTGTCCTGCCTGCAAAATATGTTAGTGCAATGGTGGCTCAGAACTTGTGGGAACAGCCAAATCTTATTTGACTTAGACCCACTACACAAGAAGGAACCCATGCCCAATGCTGCTTGGGTAATCAAAAACCAGACTAGATAGCTCAAAGACCTAAGGTAAAATCAGACAGGACTGGCAAAAACAAAACACACAACAACAACAACAACAACAAATGATTTCTAATGATTTTCTGCTCTACTCATAGATCAGTGCCTTACCCAGTCACCATCAGAGAGGCTGCCTCTGGTTTCCTTCATGCATATGACCTCACAGAGCTTGAAGCAGCCAGCACAGGGCCTACACCAGACCCTCTTTACATAGATTCTAGCTATTAGCTTAGTAGTGTTATGGGAGATTCCTGACTGAGAGGGGGGTCCCTGGCTCTTTTGCTTGCTCTTGAGATTCTTTTCCTCCTGTTGGGTTGCTGTGTCCAACTTCAATATGAAAGTTTTGCTTCATCTTACTATATTTTATTTTGTCATGTTGGCTGCTATCTCTTAGAAGCCTAATGAAAGACAGAAAAGAAGTAGATTTGGAGGGCAGGGGAGGTGGGGGAGGGAAAACTGTAAGGATATAGTGTATGAGAAAAGAATCTATTTTTAAAAAAAAATTATTCAGAAGACAAAGTATGATAAAATATGAAAAAAAATGTTTTAGAAAGGAGAATGAATTCGTCCCCATAGGAGACATTGAGGAGATAAAGGCAGGAGACTCCCAGATTCCAAGTCAGCCTGAGTTACACATTGTCAGATGTGGCAGCACACACCTTTAATCCCAGCACTTGGGAGGCAGAGGCAGGTGGATCTCTGAGTTTGAGGCCAGCCTGGTCTACAGAATGAGTTCTAGATCAGCCAGATATACATAGTGTGACCTTATCTCAAAAAGAAAGAAAAAAGAAGAGGAGTCAGAAAAGAGGAATAAGAAGAAGAGGAAAAAGAGGAGGAAGAGGAGGAAGAGGAGGAGGAGGAGGAAAAGAAAGAAAGTGGTAGTGAAAGAAGAAAGTAAGACAGAAAGACTGAGGTCTAGGTGAGAGATTTCAGGCAGTTTACTGTCATTTATGCGATGACACAGCAGAACTCATTAACTCCTTTACTAATCTTTATGCCTTCCCAATGTTTGGATCATACTTTCAAATTCCTCGAAAACCTAAAAGCTTGCATTTCACAATTGACAAAACACAAGGGAAGACAAAGAAAGCTGCACAGGGAGGCCTGCCGTAAGTGGCAGGAAAATGGTGGAGAGCTGTCACCCAGGAGACAAGGCAGCACTGCCTTCCACTTCTCCCTTCCACTCTCCCTGGGTTTTGGTCTCCTTCGTGCTGAACTTCTGCACCCTCTGTTTCTTTATGAACAAAGGGGGTGAGCTCTCAGTGTAGTCCCAAAGCCAGCAGACACAGGCTCAGACCCATGGATGTGCCTTCTTTCAAGGAAAACTCACATTTCTGCTTCACATTTTTTTTTCCCTTAAAATGCCTGTTTCCATCCCAAAGACCTGTGTAGATCTTTCAAGTCATGGAATGGCAGCACAGAGTCCCAGGCACCAGTGATGTCATTTGGGGCCCTCCTGCCACCATCCTTCACGCCAAAACTCAAACGCTGACACTTCCTCCTGGTCATGTAAGACAGAAGTGCAAATACCGTCCTCAGCCTGGTAGGCTTGTGTGTGCATTCCAAATGCCCCAAGTTCATGCTCCCCAAGGTCAGCTCCTTCTATTTAAGACTTGCTGAGACCTCATCCTCAAACTTTCAGGAAACCATGAGGGCCAGCTGTTCTATAGGATAACAAGGTATGCTCCCCTATGTTCATCACTGGAGTCCCCACATCATTATCCAAACCATATCAGTACAACCAATTTATGATCATTAAATCATTCACATTTGATTCTAAGTATAGTTAACAAAAGCTTTCAAAATGGTTCCTCACTTACCATTGATCTTTTACACTCAAAAAACGAATACTGCAAAGCTCTGCAGTAGCCTTCCTTCAAACACTGCCGTGGGGATTTTCCTTCCTGTGACATACAAACCAGTATGAATATCTGAAAAACTGTCCCACAAAGCACAAGACAACTGTTCTTCTGAAAGTAGTTTCTTTTTTTTTTTAAGTTGATTTAAGTAAATTTTCAATTCCTTTTTATTTAACCTTTTTGGTTAAAGAAAAACAAACGTAAAGATTATCAAATAAGTACTTTGAGTCTTTTTAAATTTAAATTTATACGCCTGCATTTACAAACATGCACCACGTACAGACCTGGTGCCCATGGAGGTGAAAAGAGGCTACCAGATCCTGGAACTGGAGGTATAGATGATTGTGCACCACCATAGGGCTGCTAGGCCCAAATCCTGGTCCTCTGTAAGAGCAACAAGTGCTCTTAACCACTGAGCCATCTATCTTTCCAGCGCCCAGAGCCTAAGATTTTTACAACACATCATTAATGTTTATATAAGCCTTCCTATGGATGAGAACCATGAATTGGATGCGTTAAAATAAGGACCTTTTAGTGTTGGTACTAAACTCTGTATATAAATATTAATGGGGGGACTGGAAAAATGGCTAAGTAAATAAAGTATTTGCTGCGCATGAGAGCTCCAGTTCAGCACTCACATAAAGAGCTGGGTATGGTGGCAGGAGCCTTTAATCCCAGAACTGAGTAGTAGAGACTAGCAGATCTGGTTCGTCTAGCCAATCGGGTTTACTGACATGTTTTGTCTCAATAAGGAAGAGGGGCTAGAGAGATGGGTCAGTGGGCAAGAGGGCTTGCTCTTTGGGGATCAAGGTCAGTAGGGGGAAAACCCTGTTGAGTTCCCTCTGGCAGTTTCAACTTTTCTGGATTCCCAAGGGTCATAAAACCTTAAGAAGTCTATTTTTGAGATAGTTCGGAGCCTTTTCCCCACTCCTCTTTCTCCTCACTATCCTCCACTGGAAGTTACACTGTTACCTTACCATCTGAGTTCATACCCTAAGTTTCTCTGAACCCCTATCATTCCTCGACTGTTTCCCATGGCAGCGCAGAGTATAAAGGCTTATGTTGAATTCCTCCCAGAATGCAATGCTGTAAGTTTAAGATGGGTTAAAGATCGGCAGAGAGAAACTAAGGCACGCCATAAGATACTTCCATATTCTAGAAGCCAAGAAACCAAAAATCTCCACCACAGATCAAGTAGCCATGCGGCGCAGGCACAGGCCTCAGCAGCTTCCCTTAGAGTGGGAGTCTCTGGTGGCGAGTGCTCAAAAGTTAGTGCCAGCACTCGGGAATTGCTTCTTGAACTGATAGCTGAATGTTTACAAAACCCTTAGGTGGGTAGTACGTTATCTCCCATTCAACACCAGTGAGAACCGGGGATGAGAGCTCAAGAGATCTGTCCTAAGTCAGGAGCGGCGCGCGACCTCTACCCTCGACGTGACCTCCCTAGCAGGCCAACATGGAGCCAGTCTTGGCTGAGCTCTGCCACCCAGATCCGCTACCTGGAGCACACAGGCCGACTGCAGCAGACATGCACCCAGGTCCTCCTTCACGCCCGAGCACGCACCGCCCTCCGGCTTGTCTTCATAATACCGGGGCATGGCGGGGCCCACCGCCCTCGCCACACCAGATCACGGGCTTCGGTCGCCCCGGACCGCCCGAAAGGGCGTGGGCACACCCACTGACAAGCGAGGGGGTGGGAGAAATCCTCAACTTCCGGCTGACTCTGCAGGGTGTGCGCATGCGTGGCGGAAGTGTGTGTCCGTGACGCAAATACAGAGCGCCGCAAGTGCGGGCTACGTAGCGGTAAGGGAAGTGGCCCCAGCGGCGGCTGGGCTAGGCTGCCGGGTGAAGGTGGAGGTAGTCCTGGGCCCGGGGCGAGGCCTCGCGGGCCTTCAGGTGCGGCCTGCTCTGTGTACGCAGGGTGGCGTTCGTGCCGACGGCCGTTTCCACAGTCTGCTCGCGACCTGGCGTCTCAGTGGCCGGGTGAGGGACTAGACGGCGCCCGGCAGCTCGAGTCCTAGGCCCGCCGTGGAGCTACTGGGTAAAACCAAAGACGCCCGTTTACTTTGGAATTGCAGGATTAGAGCCATTTTTAAAATTCTAAGCAGGACTGGAATTTTGCACAGAGACACACACCCTGAAACCTTGTCGTTGCTTACTCTTAAGTCAGATGTCATTGGGCCGTCTGTATTTTTAGTTGACAGAGGCTTGGGATATTGGAGACCTGCTGGCGGGGCGGGGCGGACGGGGCGCGGCGGAGCGCCTCGGCGGTAGGCTGGTAGGTAGGGTGGCTGGGCGGTGACCAACAGGCGTTTAGCTTCGGACTAGTTGGACCGGACCTTCCGCACTCTTACTCCTCTTACCCAGCTATTCTAGGAGTAAAACCATCAAGGAGTGGAATTTGCTTCGTTTTTATTGTCACATTCTGAATAACCAGGAACTTGCTGGCCATCGCTGACGGACTTGTACAAATAAGTTGTGTGTCTTATCTTTTCAGTAACTTTGCTTTTAGCTTAAACTTTTTTGTTTTAAATCTTGGTCATTGAAAACATGGATTTTTTTTTGAGCCAGTGTTTCAGTCATTGTCCCATGTCCATGAGGAAGTCATTGCATATCCCTATGCTTCTTTTTCCTTGGTCTCCATTAACAGTAGTGAGCTACTACAGCTGTCAAAGGCTTGATTGAGGTGAAGGTTAGGAAACCATGGACTCAAGTGGTTTCAGATGGTCCAGGAGAGCGTGGTACTGCCTCAAGGCATTAGCACTTGGCCAGTCCCTAGAGAAGCCCCAGAACGAACTCCATTGCTTCTGGCCCCTAATCCTTTCTGAAGGTGGCAGGAGAAATTGTCATAGCTCTGAAGAGGAGTTGCTAGTAGCCAAATATCACATCTAAAATTACCTCTAAGAGAAATGTTTTCATTCCATCTAGGAAGATGCTACCAAGTACTTCTTTGAGTTCTTCGATGCACGGGAACGGAGTATTAAATTCCAGGGATGCAGCAAGGCACACAGCTGGCGCGAAACGCTACAAGTACCTCAGAAGGCTTTTTCGATTTCGGCAGATGGACTTTGAGTTTGCTGCATGGCAGATGCTCTACCTGTTCACCTCCCCTCAGAGGGTTTATAGAAACTTTCACTACCGGAAGCAAACAAAGGATCAGTGGGCCAGAGATGACCCTGCCTTTTTGGTCCTCTTAAGTATCTGGCTCTGTGGTAAGTGTATCTCAGTTTACAAGCAGTATAGTTGGGAAACAAATTGGGGGTTTCAGAGGAAACTTGATCTTTTGTGATAATGTATAATGGGTCAGAATCTTGGGGTGCGTGAAGCTGTGGGGTTTGTTTGTGTTTTCTAAAACGTTAAAAAGCTAGCAAGAAAGAAAGTAGTGTTCTTCCTAGTCCTGGCTGTAACACATGCCAGAGTAAACTACTGTACTGGGCTGTGCAATAGTAGGGGTAAGAGGAGCTGGAGAGATGGCTCATCAGTTAAGAGCACTGAGGTCCTGAGTTCAATTTCCAGCAACCACATGGTGGCCCACAATCATCTGTATGGGATCTGATGCCCTCTTCTGGTGTGTCTGAAAAGAATGGCAGCGTACTCATAAATAAGTCTTTTTTTTTTTTTTAAAGAAAGAAAGAACAAAAGAAGGAAAGAAAGAAAGCAGGGGATGGGATTCCTCCCATAGTTGGTTTATTCCTTCTCTTTTGAGACAGCTTCTAGATGTCTAGGCCAGGCTGGCCTGGCACCCAGGATGGTCTTAACTCAGCCTCTTAGTGCTGCCATTACAGGCATGTTCTGCCATACTGGCTGACTTTAAAAACAAAACAAAACTAGTAAGAACCAAATCCAAGTGTATGCCAAGAAATGTTAGGATGGGAATTATATTTCTTAATAAGGCAAATCTGTGAGGCTAGGAGGTTGTCGTCTTTTTATTTTCATTTATGGCGGGAGGAGGGGCAGGGGTTGGTAGGAACCAGAGACCTAAATATACCAAGCAAGTGCTCTACCACAGAGCTACACCCCCAGCCTTTTGAGTAAGAGTTCTGAAAGTAATGATTGAACTTGAAAAGAACCGTTAAGTTCTCCAGTTCATCAGCTGGAATACATCATCAGTTCCAGTCAGTTATAGGGTATCGAAGTATGTAGGTGCTTTTCACATTTAACTGGACTTAAGAGTAAGTTGAGTGCCATCCGCACTGGTGTTCTGAGTGCTCTGTGTCCTGCTGAACTAGTCCATGAGTCCTGCCCCTTTACTGCATTCAGAGGTGCCGTTTATTTCAACATCAGTTGCACGTACCTTGTCTTGAGGGTTTTCTTCATTGTCTGTGTACCACCTCTACTACATGTGGGCATATGGGAGTCAGGGACTTGTACCCAAGAGCCTAGCAGTGACTCTTGTAACTCTCTATTTCAGTGTCCACCATAGGATTTGGCTTTGTGCTGGACATGGGATTTTTTGAGACAATAAAGCTGCTCCTGTGGGTCGTGTTCATAGACTGTGTAGGTGTTGGCCTTCTCATATCAACTTTAATGTGGTAAGTACCATAAAGTGCTTCCTTACGTGCTGCTAAGCCTCATAGCTAGTGAAAAGTGAGCCCAAGATAGAGTAGCTGAAGTGATGAGATTGACTGCCATGATTATTGTAACTTGGCTCCTGTGTCTGTACTCGGTCAGAAAATACTTTCATGGGTGCTTACTGTCATTGTACCAAATCCCAGAATGGTTAGACCTTGCTAAATTCTGATTTTTCATAATATATATGATTCTGCTTACATCTGGTTAGCTTTGTTTTCTACATTTGTTAGTGGGTACCATTTCTAGATGCATAAGTGCTTTGGTAGTGTTTAAATCCATTTAGATCTAGAAGGTTATCCTTTGGAGTTTTACTTCAGTCAAGTGTGTTTGAAATGAGTTTTGTTTTCAGTGTGGCTCCTCTAAGCTGAGAAGAAAGCACATCTAGAGGTCTTCAAAGGCCCTCAGCCTACTTCTGTCTGTGGTTGGGTGAGCAACTGTAGTTGGCTGTAGACTAGAGATGGTGTTCAGCATGTCACTGCTCTCAGAGAATGTTCTTGTGTGCTTGGCTTCCTGGGCAAAGGGTGGTGATGTAGCAAGTGGCTTCATAGAGGGTAAGGACTGAGCAGGAAGCAAAGAAAATGCAATAGTCTCAGACAGGTCCACATGCCAGCAGGCATATGTGGGACCTTCCTTTGTAAAGTGGAGTTTTCATAGATGGTTTTAGGGTAGCAGGATGGTAGACCTTTGGTACCTAGATAAGGTAGCTATTGCTATTTTAAACAAAAATGCTAAGGCTATATCTTGATGAAACCAGTCTTTTATTTTCCTTTGTAACTTTTGACTAGTAAAGTACAGGTTCTGTGGGTACTGGATAGTTAATTAAAAACTACTATGTGTCATTTCTAAATTTCTAAAATCTAGCCTAAAATTAATATTGATGATATAAATCAAATACTCATTGTCAAGCTACTCATGGGAGAAAAATATGTAAACTTCCAAGAAGTTGCTGAAAGTGTCTGCCGTGAGTGCAGTGACCTGGATGGCAAGCCACAGAGCAACACCTGCCGCTGATGTGGCTTTTGTCCCCCATAGTTTGATCAAGTAGGAACAGGCTTACTGTGCTCTTTGTGAGAATACCAGTATCATGAACTGTGAGGAGCTGGAAGTAGAAACAGTGACATACCTTCACCCCCAACCCTACCCCAAACATCCCCCAAAGTGCCATAGGAACCAGCACAAGGCCATGTTTTGGGGAGCTGTGGACACTTGATTCCTGTTTCCGAATGTCCAGTTGTAGAGACGTGCTTATGTGCAGCAGCATGCTAGGCCTGAGGACAGGGAACACTAAATGACTGTGAGGAAACGAGACTTAGAAAATAGGCTTGATAGGATCAGGGAAAAAATGGGCTTTTATGTTCATATCTGCAAGTGTGGGTTGGAGGGTAGGAGAGAAATGCAGAGCTAGGAAGCTAAGGACAAAATGAAGTCAGATTCACTGTTGGAAAGTCCTCAGTGTGGCAGTGAAGGTGTAGAGAAGCGGGGATGCCTGGTCAATGCAGGGGGTCAAGTGAGAGAGGGGATGCCCAGGACAGTGTGGTGATAATAGGCTGAGGAGAGAAGGGTTCAGAGCTTCCCATGTTAACAGACTTAGGAGACCGTGGGAAGTGCTGCTGAAGCATTCCTTGTTGGCTGTGTCAAGTCAGGGGCTGGTGGGATGCTTACTGCAGAGGTGAGCTGAGGGAGGGGGAGGACTGGAAACTACAGACAACAGTCTGGCCTGAGATATGTCCAACATGGAGGTGGGAAAGAAGCCAGTCAGTTGCCTTGAAGTTCTTTAGGAACCACTGTCTGTCGTGTTGGTTTAAGGGATGTGCAGAGGTGAAGCAGGAGGGCAAGTGGTCACACAGAGGACCTGTGAGCAGGAGGGCAGTGGTCACACAG